GAACTCGGACAGGAGGGCCTGATAATTATTTACTAATTAACGAATGCAAAACTAAGTCATTAGATTTCCAGTCAACCCCAGGGTAGGGGGAACCATGCCTTCTCCCACCCATCCTTTGCTCCATAATGTCCCTATGTAAATGTGAAAATCCCAGAGGAAAACCATCAAAACTGCCAGAAATACAATTTGAACACTCAAAAGCACATAAAATCTGCCATAAAAATTGTGAAACATTTTTTATGAAACATCTGTCACAGTTCTATACTTCTATGGTATTTTTTTTTCATGAAAGTAGAAAACGAAAGTAAATAAATACCCTGAGCACCAAATAAGGGTGATATCTGCAACTGCCATCGTATTTAACACCCCATCCCCAATCCTCATCCCCACCATTTTACCGCACTCTGCCCATGCTCAGGACATAGTGCGTTGCGGGGTCAACAGAACACAGCTGGGTTCAAGTCTTGGCTCTGCCATTTACGAACTGCTGGGTGACTGTTATGGGTGGAGTTGCATCCTCCCAAATTTCACAGGTTAAAGTCCGAACCCCCAGTAGCTCAGAATGTGACCTTACAGAGAAACGGGGCTGTTGCAGATGTAATTAGTTAGGATGAAGTCACACTAGAGCAGGGTGTGCCCCTAATCCAATATGATTGGTGTCCTTATAAAAAGGGAAAAATTAGGACACAGAGTCATGTACACATGGAGAATGCCACGCAAACATTGCTGCCACGAGCCAAGGAACTACCAAAAGCTTGGACAGAGCCCTGGAACAGACCTTTCCCTAGCATCTTGAGAGGGAGCATGGCCCTGCAGACACTTTGATTTCAAACTTTTGGCTTCCAGAACTGTGAGACAATACACTTCTGTTGTTTGAGCCACCCACTTTGTAGTGCTTTGTTACAGCAACCCTAGATGACCTTTGGCAAATTAATCCTTTTGTGCCTCAGTTTCATTTTTTCAAATATGAGGTTAGTAATGGTCCCCACTTCATGGAGATGTTATGAGAATTAAATGAGTAAATATTTGTATAGTGCTTAGAACAGTACCTGGCACAGAAGACCAACCAATGACATCGTATAATGGTCAACATTCTCTCCTATTCCATGTGGCATTGACAGGAGCAGATGCCACAAATTCTGACACAGTAGGTCCTAATTTACAGCCCATTGTTGTGTTGGGACATTTCAGAATTTAGCTTCCACGCAGAACATGGGTACGCAAAAGGACTCAGGTGGTCGGCAAGAGAGGGATGAGTGTTTTGCAATTACTCTTATTCACCAGATACAAACTGAGCAACTTCCCCATGCATGGTGCAGAGCAACAGATCTCACACGGTGGGGTGTGATACACAGGGAAAATCCTTTGTATTATTTCATTGTCTTCTAATACTGAAACTTCAGGAGCAAAGTGACTCTGGATTTCCATCAATTTCTCCTGAGCATTTCTACCTTTCCCATACCTCACACAACCTGGGAAACTCAGAAGAGCAGGAGAACTTTAAGAAAAATTAAACACATAAGAATGAAGGATTGAAACAGCTAATGGGGAAGTGGCTGAGGCTGAAGAAAATTCAAGAATTATCTTTTTTTTTTTTTCACTTTAAACAAAGGATCCTTTTCCTAACCAGCGTGGTCCTCTCTTAGCTGTAGGCCATCAGTGAACATTAATTAATCAAACTATATGTAGGTCACACAGGTATTTTGGGGAAAGGAGTAAGAATATCTCTATTTTTCTGGCAAAAGGACCACTAGGAAATCCATTTAGTCAGTCATTCAATAAGTATTTATTGAGCACCTATTATGTGTTATGTACAGTTTTAGGCATCGGAAACACTGCAATAGATAAAACTAACAAAAGCTTATGTCTTCCTGGAATTTATATTCTGATGAGAGAGAAAGATAGACAACCAAATAAATAATACATAGTATATTAGAGAGAGATGAATGCTAAAATGAAAATCAAAGCAGGAATAGTGTAGGGTGAGGGGTACATTGAGGGGGGCAATATTAGATAGGGTGGCGAGGGAGGTGACATTTGAATAAAGATCTGAAAAAGGTGAGGGAGTGAGCCATCAGATATCTGGGAGAAGAGCATTCCAGGCAGAGGAAACAGCAAGTGCAAAGGCCCTGCGGCAGGGGTGTGCTTAGAGAATTCAAAGAACAGAAAACAAGCCAATATGATTAGAATGAAATGAGAGAGGGTGAGGAATATGAGATGGAGTTGAAGTGAGGGAGGTATCAGGGACTGCGTCATTCAGGGCCTTGAAGTCATAATAACAACTTTGGCTTCTGCCTTGAGAGCAACAGGAAGCCGTAAGAAAGATCTTTGACTGCTGGCTGCTCTCTTCTGGACCGTGCCAGAGGCAAAGGAGGATGCAGGGAGACAAATGGTCTGTCCGGGGTGGTGGTGGCAGTAGTGGTGATTCTGGATACATTCTGAAGACAGAGAAAGCAAGATTGACTGAATAGGATGTGAAATTTGAAATAAAGGGAAGAGTTATGAACAGAACAGAATTTCCATTTTTCTGAGAAAGGGAGGACTATGAGAAGAGCAGATTTGCAGGGAGCTCAGGTCTGGATGTGCAGGGCTTGAGATGCCTATTGGATATTTCATTCATTTTCCATGGCTGTTGTAAAAATTACCAGAAACTTGGTGGCTTAAAACAATAAAAACTTATTCTCTCACAGTTCTAGAGGCTAGAACTTCAAAATCAATTCCACTGATATGAAATCAAGGTGTTGGCAGGGTCATTGTCCCTCTGGGGTCCTTAGGGGTGACTGTTCCTTGCTTCTTCCAGCTTCTGGTGGCTGCCAGCACTCCCTGGCTTGTGGCTGCATCCTTTGCACCTCTGCCTCCACGGCCACATTGTCTTCTCCTCTTCTATGTGCCAATATCTCCCTGCACCTGCCCCTTGTAAGGATTCATGTGATTGTATTTAGGACTCACTCAGACAAACCTGGTTAATCTCCCCATCTCAAGGTCCTTAATGTAAACCCAGCTGCAAAGGCCTCTTTGCCATTTACGTGATGCATAGGTTGCAGGGATCAGGTCATGGATATCTTTGAAGAGCCGTCATTCATCCTACCACAGCTATCCAAGTGGAAATGTCACATAAGCAATTCTGTGTCTGAGTCCAGATTTCAGGGAAGAGGTACAAACTGGAGGTACACAGGTGGTATTTAATGTCACAAGGCTGGAACACTCAGGGAGTGAGTGTAGAAAAAGGAGATGTCTACTATGGAGGATCCCCCAAAATTAAAAATAGAGCTACCAGTTGATCCAGCAATCCCACTTCTGGATATATATCCAAAAGAATTGAAATCTGAATCTCAAAGACATATCTGCACTTCCATGTACATTGCAACATTATTCACAATAGTCAAGATATGGAAACAGCCTAAGTATTCATTGATAGATGAGTGGATAAAGAAAATGTGGTTTATACACACAATGGAATATTATTCAGCCTTCAAAAAGAAGGAAACCCTGCTATTTGGGACCACGTGGATAGAACTGGAGGACATTGTGCTAAGAGAAATAAGCTAGACACAGAAAGACAAGTACTGTGTGATCTCACTTATATATGGAATCTAAAAAGGTCAAAACATGGAAGCCGAGAGTGGAATGATGGTTGTTGGGGATCAGGGAGGGAGAAATGGGGAGACGTTGGTCAAGAGATACAAAGTTTCAGTCATGCAAAATAAATGAGATCCAGAGACCTACTATATGACATAGAACTTGTGACTAACAATACTGTATCGTATACTTAGAAATTTGGTAAGAGAGTAGATCTTAAGTGCTTACCACAAAAGGGAAAATACAACAACAACAAAGGGGGTAGGAGAAAGCTTTTAGAGATGATTGATGGATAACTTTAGAGCATTGATGGTGATGATAGTTTGATGGTTTCACTTATCTCCAAACACATCAAGTTGTATACATTTTATATCTACAGCTTTTTGTATGTCAATCATATCTTGATAAAGTAGCTTAATTAAAAAATAAAAAGAAACAGAAAAAGGTGTCCAAAAGCTGGGCCAGGGTCCCTCCAGTGTTCAAAGGTCTGGGATAGCAGGAGAAATCAGCAAAAGAAACCGAGAAGGAACAGCTGGGGGGTGGGGTGGAGACTAGGAGGCTCCCGAGAGCCAAGCAGAGAATTCTTCTGCACAGTGGAGGACGACCACTAATGCCACTGATGCCACTGACGGGTCAAGTACGATGAGATCGCGGAGCACTGGATTTAGCCACTTGGAGGTCACTGCTGATCTTGACACGGGCAGCTTCAGTGCAGAGGTGGGGCAAAGTCTGACTGCAGAGAGTGCAAGCAGGGAAAGGGAGACAGCAGCATGAACAGCTTTCAAGGTGCTCTGGCCTGGGAGGCACTAGTGAAAATCCCTTGGCCTGCCCGAACTTCCACAGCGGCAGAGAGAATGGCCTTTGCAGCTGCTCTAGCTCCAACTCTAGGATCCAGGAAAGCAGATGGAGGCCAGAGTTTTTCCTACTTGGCTGTTTTACCCAAGGTCTACCTCGCCAGTCCAGCCTTACAGCTAAGGCTCACTCCACTGTGACAGCTCCCACAGAAGGCCTCAATCACTAGGGTCAGATGGACCCCACCTTCACACGAGCCCCAGAACAAGCGGGGATGCCACAGCCCTTACAAATGCGCTGTGCGGCCCCCTCCCAGATGCTGAAAGGCCTTTAAATAACGGGATCTCTAAGTTGGTAGGAGTCAATGCGCCTTTATGCACACACTCTGGAGATGTAGAGCTAATTAGTCTCACACTACGCAAGTTTCCAGCTCTCTCAGAGAAATTTATTTATGTCTAGTATACCTCAGGGCAATGACTGAAGCCTCTGATTTTAATTTTAGGCTTGAGAAAGGCATTACTTTGATGCTAATGAAAGAAGCACAAGCAAGTAGCACCAGCTTGCAAGGAGTTAAAGAGAACCCTAAGGTTCTCTCCTGGGTTTCCGGAGGGTGCAGTAGCTATACTTACCTTTCATAATTGTGACGCTTAAGAGGACGCAGGGCCGTGCTCAAACAAGGCTGGAGGGATAATACTCGCTGTCGTTTACCGAGTGCTCGCTCTGCAGTGCACCAGATGCTTTCTGTGCATTATTATTTAATCCTCACAAGAGTCCTGTGAGGTGGTTGCTTCCATTAGCCTCATTTCACAGACAGGGGAATGAGGCTCAGGGAAGTCACGCAGCTTCACGCCACAGCCATGGCAGTCGCAGGCACGGCGGTGGCAGCCTCTTCAGTCCCGGGAGATGCCTGCAGCTCAGCAGGGGACAGAGACCCAGGGCCTTGGGAAGGGCTCTGGGGTCCAGAACCCAGCCTGCCTCATCGCCCTGCATTTGCAAATGCTTTGGCAACAGCCAGTGCCCTTTAAAATTCTCCATTTAAAAAAGAAAAGAAAAGGCTTCATTTGTGAATCCAGGAAGAACCACGAAAGGCACAGAAGGTGGGGCTAAGGGGTTGCTCCCTGCATGAAAGGAACCTTGTAACTGTGGAGACATTCATTTCTGGACAGAGGGGTTCCATGGGATTGTTGAAGGAGGCTACCTCCCCACATACCCACATGCCCAGTAGGATCGTTTCTATTATGGTGCTTTTTTACCAACCTGAAATTTAACACGACATCAACACTAAATACCCACAAAGAATAAATGGTGCATATGGGGCTGAGATTTGCCATATGAAGGCAATAACTGATGGTTTCCAGAACCTTAATGGGCTGGTCAAGGCCAGATCTAGGCAAAGTTGTACCATAAAAGTGATATTCAATCGTTCTTGTTATCAACGCCTTCTTCATTCAGGAGTTCCCAGACAAGCTCAGGAGTCTGCCGTCCTTGGGGCGTCCTGGCCACCCAGGCTGCCCCCTGCAGAGGGCCCCTCTATTCCTGCCCCTTCTTGCTGTCACCAGAACCTGTGTCTTGAACTAAAATTTCTTCCGCTCCTTCTTGGGTGACAACCAAACTGATTTTATTGGTATTTCTGGGAAAAGAAGCATGTTCAGTTGCCATTCAAGCCACTGCCAACTTCTCTTCTTTTATCCAGCTTGGGACCCCTCTCTGCAATGGGCTGAGCCTTTCCCAGTCCGCATATAATCTAGCGAGAACCTGAGAGGTGGGTACTGACCAAGTCTTCATGGGGAGAATACACTTGCAGACTTATTAAAAGCAGTTTTCACAGATCTGATCATTGTTGAATGGGAATTAGTTACCCAGATCCAAATAAGGTACTAATAAGACAAACATTACTCTCTGAAAAGCTTGCTTTGTCCTACCCCAATCCCACCACCACCAAAAGAAAAATCCAAAACAACAACAACAAAAAAAACCCCTCACATATGGCTGGGCCAGCCTAGTAATTTAAGTATATGTGCTTTAGTAAGACACAGAAGTAGGTTAGTACCTGTTTCTGTTACTTATTAACAAGGTGACTGTGGGCAATAAGTTTCCTTATCTGTAAGACCAAAGTAGTAATGTTATAGTCTCTATCCCATAGGGCTTTGTGCAGATTAGATGCAATAACTCATGTGAAACCCTTAGCACAATACTTGGCCCCTAATGAGCATTCAAAAAATGTTAGCCATGGTATTATCACTCTCTGAATAATAATAGCTACACTACTACCCAGTGCCAAGCACTGTTCTAAGTGCTTTACATAGGTTAACTAATTTTCACAATCACCCTATGATATAGGTACTGTCATCCCTGTTTGAAAGAGCAGCAAATGAAAGCACAGAGAGGTTAAGTGATTTGCCAAGGTAACACAGCAAGTAAGTGCCAGAGCTACAACTCAAACCCAAGCAGTCTGGCTCCAGGGTCTGCCCCCTTCGCCACAACCACCAAGTCCTATCGCATTTGCTGGGGGCTCTGGAAGGCACACCAAGATGGACCCCCTTTTATAGCACAAAAAAGTTGTGTCGTTGGTTGAAGACTAAAGAAGATTGTGTGTGAACTCTGTCCCCAAAAGGAAAAAAGAGAGAAGCAATCCAAGTGCCTGCAGAGGGCTTCCATTAGGAGAACAAATTTTATGTATTCAGTTGGAAGCAAATGGTTCTGAAATCTGCAAGGTCCACATTTCTGCAGTGTTTCAAACTTAAGGGGAGGATATTCCCCACCAGGAATGAACACAAGTCACCATGAAGTTAGAGACTAAAGAGACATTCTTTAGAAAGTGCTAATGAAAGGAGGAGGGACAAGAGGGAAAAAAAGGAAACAAAAGGGAGAGGCAAACGGAGTTATATTCCCAGAGTCGTAATTCAAATGCAGCCCAGGTCCTGGCAGAGTTTATAGCGACAGCTTGTCCAATAACATCCACAATACATAATACTCCGAGGACTTGTTTGATGTTGAAATGTTTTCTTGAATGAGATTCACAAAGCGAATGATTGTTGTTTGACATTCCTTCGAGTTTACTGGGCCACGGTAACTTGTGTTTATCGCTGTATGTACCAGGCAGGCAGGGTCTGCTGCCACGTGTTGCATTTATTCATGGACGAGCTTGTCTCTCCAGTTTGCTGTTGTGCCTTGTAATTAATCACACTCGTATTTAATCCATGCTCATTTCATACTTGGGGAAGGAAAGAAGGAGAGGAGAGAAAGAGAAAACCCTTTGTGCAGATTTGCCTACATTTTTTTTTTCAATAACCGTAAAGAACATTTCTCAACTGGTGATTGTTTTAAAAAGCATCTAGTCTCTTCGTAAAACCTCTTTAAAGGTGCATCAAACGCGCAGCGAACCCTTGAGATCTGCACTGGGGATTTATCTAGATAAAGCCTGCACTGCTTTCGTTTAGCCTGCAGCTCCAGGGGCCAGGCCATTACTGCTGACCCGGCCAACATCTCCCTGCAGGACAAACAAAAGCAAGCCCAGGGTCCACAGAGGGAGCAGAAGGTCTCAGAGGTGGTTGTCACTCCAGCTCCTATCGGTGAGTTTGCCTGTTGCCATGGGGACAGAAGTCCTCAGTGGAGAGAGGGACTAGTATTCGGCACTGGCTGCGTGCAACGAAGCATCATTCTTTTGCAAATAGTGCCCATAATTTCTAGCAACAAACTCTGAACACCTACAATCACTTAAGAGTAGAAAGAAATGAATGAACTTCATTTCAGCCCATTTTGCTTACAGTTTTCTCTTTTGAGGAAAAGTATACATGATAAAGCAAGAAAATGGGTTCTCATTAGCTATGAGATGCAAGCCAGCCATCTACTCTGTATCGTTGCCATCACATAATCTAGAAACTCGTCTCTGGACTGCATTGAGGCTGCTGAGGAGCGCATGAGATCAATGAAATGACCTCAGTGCTTCTAGATCCACTTCCCTGCTGATCTCAGAGCTCAGAGGGCCTTCATGGCCCCATGGACCCCACTGCTGCAAAGCTGGCTACCTGCTCCCCCGTCGGCATGAGGCCAGGCCCAGCCTGCTGGGCTCTTTCCAGGAGTTGATCTCCTAAAGGCCTTCTTTAACCATACGGATAAACTCTCGTTTAAATTCAGGCACATACACCCACAGGCTGATCAACAGAGACACACCACGAATTGAATGATAAATAATACATGCAGACAAAGACAACACCAGCCCTTATTTGCAGATGAAAGAACACTAGAAATTATTTCTGATGGAAATATAAAAGATTAAATTCAAGCAGGGAATGGGGTAGGAAGTATTTGTTTAAAGCTTCTCAAGAAACAAGCTCATTGTTTCACTTTCAAAAAGACACTTTCTGTCCTGAGCTGGGAATGCAGTGGGCATTCGCCAACTGGGGCCCCAGTGGGAGACGCTGGTCCCCTAAGGATAGAGCTCAAGGGAGCAGAGATGTAGCTTCAACCAGAGATGGGGCACCTGGTGGTGAGCCAGCCTAGCATCTGTCTCTCTTCTTCTGGTCATTTCTATTGGGGACCTATCTGCTTTCCACTCTCACTCCATAGAGCCAATGGTGCTGTGTCTGCCCCACCTCCACCTCCAGGTCCACAGGGAGGGGAGAAGCATTAGAAAAATGAACCGAATCATCCCAGTGAGACTCGGTTGCTGGGGGCTCCTCTGCTTTCACCCAAGTCGCGAGTAATATATATTTATGTATTTATAAATTTACTGAGAAGGAAACCTGAAGAAAGACAAGCACTGATTCAAAGAACATCCAAATAAACAGATTGCTAAATTAGATACAAGAGTAGTTAATGTCCTAAGGGGCAATACAACTGTGACCTTTAAAGCATCTTATTTTCCAGGACAACTCCCCACCCCCAGCAACGACATCATGACATCCTATCAGTTTTCCTTGGGTTATCCTCCAAATTTACCAGCTGATAAACATTTGGGTCATTTTTTAGTTAAACAAAGTTATACACCCCTGAGAACCAGAGGACAATCTTTATAAAATGTTCTGTCATCAGATTAAAGAAAGCAGTCATCACTTAGGTTTATTTCCAAGTAAGGAATAAATTATTAGTTTACACCTATTATGTATTTTATTTCTTTATTTTTAACTGTCTATCTTAACTTACTAGAATGTTTGATTTTTTTTTTCTTGAGACAGAGTCTCGCTTGGTCACTTAGGCTAGAGGGTAGTGACGTTATTATAGCTCACAGCAACCTCAAACTCTTGGGCTCAAGGGATCCTCCTACCTCAGTCTCCCAAGTATTATATTGCAGGCATGTAATACAGCTTGTATTGCAGGCATGCACCACCACGCCCAGCTATCCTTACTAGAATGAAAGCTCCACAAAGAAGGAATTTTTGTCTGTTTTGTTCACTGTGATAAGCCCAGCATCTAAAATGGTGCCTAACCCACAGAAGGTACTGAAAGAGAAGTGTAATTGAATGAATGAATTGCCAGATTTGTTTTTTAAAAATGCTACCATATAGCTATTGCTAACAGCTTGCTTTCTTTTTTAGTCTCCTACAGAGCGTGCTGTCTTACACATAGTAGGCATAAATGGTCAGCAGCTGTCCTGATCTTAATTATAACTGAAAAACTTTAAAGTCTTGGCTGACAGTCAGCTACGTGTTTTTCAAACAGTCTGGGTCTGGACCAAAGTCTAAGGGTGTATGAAGTTGAGTCAGAGGAAGCATTTTCCATTTGGCCTTTGGCTTGCTAATTTTAGATTGACCCCCATCCTTGTTTGTTCTGGAAATCCCATTCTTCTGCACCTTTGGATTGAGAACAATCGTTATTACTCCCATTCACAGTGTGTTATTAAACACAGGAGACAGGCTTACGGGATTTTCTGAATGTGATTTTGCTTTCCTCTGATCTGCCCGGGAGTTTCCGTGTCTGACCAGTAGGGACATTGGATATGACCTTTCCAGTCATAGGTGAGGGTAGAAGG